ATATATATATATATATATATATATATAATATCTTGAACAACTTTTTATGAACACGGTTAAAGTATACTTTTTTTTAACTGGGAATTTAAAAATGTCTATCTTTCAGCAACTTATCATCATTTCATCATCATCATTTCATCATCATCATTCTTCGACATCCCTATGGTTGATCGGAATTCCATTGGCAATCCCTTTCCACTGAGCTCGGTCCTGATTTGCCATCCCCAGATCCTCAATATCCAACCCTGAGTCCAAAGCCATGGTGTCTGGGAAAGTTAACTTTCGTGAGAAGACATCCCCCCAGAAGGATGCCATAGAAGTAAGGATAAAACGATTTCCCCGTCTGCTCGGTTGCAGTGGCCGGTAAACTGTAATCGATTTTGTTTGCACTTAAGAGAGATTGGTCACAGTTCTCCGTAAATTGTATTAAGTGTTGCATGGGATCTCCAACTGATGTTCTGGATTTTTCTAAGCAGATTTGTATATGTTCCATCCAGTCATTTTATTAACAAAAGTATCATAAATTATATATTTAAGTTAAACATTAGTAAAATATTTGTAAAAATACTCAATACATTTAAATATTTGACTTGAAAATGTTTTTCCAAGATAAAATTTACACTTATATTTTATAAACTTATCAAAAGAACATAATTGCAATTAAAAATGAAATTTGATATTTAGGTTCTATGCTGGCTGTGGTGTGCCGTGAAGAACGGGGCCAAAAATGAACATTACTTACGGAGACAAGCAACTACCCTAGTATCAACACTAGGTGATGTGATTTTTGTTTAAATGAAACCAGTAGGAAAGGTTAAAGTGAGTGGTCAAACATTAATCACAGGCCAGTTGAATAATCTGATGCTTAAGATGCCATATGTAGCACTGACACATGTTGGTATGATAGAAGTTTAGTGTTGGTGGCCTTCAGACACCTTGACTGAAAGTTGGTTCAAAAGGATTGGTCTAGGTTAATGAGAATGCTTGAGTAATCTGGTAATCTGATGGAGATTGGATTGGTCAATTTTTCTAGTTCCTATAGAGCCGAGTCATTAGGATTGGTTTACATTAACGCGTACACTTGATTGGCAACTGTGGCAATTGGTATCTCTTGTATTCTCTGGAGACAAAATGTGTCATCCAGCTACGAGTAGTAATAACTCAGTGGTTGCAGTATTTGTATATGTTCCATCCAGTCATCTTTCAAGATGAGCAGATAATGTCCAAGTTTTTGATCTATACAGTAGGACTTGTTCAGTCAGTGTTTGAAAGATTTGAACTTTTAAGGAGGATGGAAGGTTCAAGGGCCAAATCTTGTGAAGTCTGTTACATGCAACCCATGCAAGAGCTTTGAGGGTGTTGAAGTCTTTTTGGGAATCTATTATGTGATATCCAAGATATTTGAAGTCCTCAACTCTTTTGATGGATATATTATTGAGTAACTTCAACTTGGATGGTTCAAGGGGGGGTTGTGATATATTGTCTTACTCATGTTGCAAGAGAGATCTGCTTGGTTTGCTGCTTGCTCAAGTGATTGTAGCAAGGATTCTGCGTCCTTCATACATTGAGAAATTAATGCAAGATCATCAGCAAAGTCAAGGTCAATCAGGGATTGTGGAGAGGTACTGACTATTCTGGCAAAGTTTCAAAAGGAGTTCTTTTTCCTCCATGTTAGTATTGTTAAAAGCTTTTGTAATTAGATAATATCTTCATCATCATCAAACCTTCATAAAATTGGTTGAAACTACATTGAGAATTCCTTTTCTTTAGTCCTGCATTGCTGTCCCCAGATCCCTAATATCCAACTCTGAGCCCTGAGGTATAGTGTCTGGAGAAGTCACTTTTTGTGAGAATACACTTCCATAAGGATGCTATAGGTGTAAAGATGAGATGATTTCCCTGTCTACTCAGTGGCAGTGGCCAAGAAACCATAATTGTTCTTGTTTGTACTTAAGAGAGGTTGGTCTCAGTTCTCTGTAAATTGTGTTAAGCGTTGCATGGGATCTCCAACTGATGATCTGGGTTTTTCTAAGTAGATTTGTATATGTTCCATCCAGTGGTCTTTCAAGGCGAATCGATAATGTCCAAGTTTCTGATATACATAGTAGGACTGGTTCAATCCATGTTCGAAACGTTTGGACTTTTCAGGAGGATGAAAGTTTCGAGTGCCAAGTCTTGTGAAGTTTGTTACATGCAAGAGCTTTGAGGGTGTTGGGATTTTGGGGAATCTATTATACGAGATTCAAGATATTTTAAGTCCTCAACTCTTTTAATGGATACATTATTAAGTGACTTTTAGACTGGTTGCATTACCACTTATACCCCATTTGTAAATCCACAAAAACATCCTTGAAAATGGCTGACTTTTTCAAAGTAATAAGTAAGTAAGTAATAAATAATTGTCAAAAAACCGAAAAGAAAAAACCTTGCCTACTAATTGACATGGCTTGTCTAGCAACCAAGGAATTTGAAAAACTACCGAAGTATAAAGACCTGGAAATCGAAATAGAAAAAAATGTGGAAATTGAAAACAAGAATAGTACCAGTCATAGTAGGTGCGCTTGGAATGATAAAAAAGGAACACAACAACACTTTGAAAAAATCCCTAGAAATCCCAAGAGAAATACAAAAAATTGTCTTGATAAGTCCAGCCCACACAGTAAGAAGTTTGTCCTTGGAACTTGATGTTATGGAAGTTGGCAAAACAAATCATGAAATGTAGCCATAACAACCCACCACAATCTGCCTGAGTTCTTCCCCCAGACTTGTGACCATAGCAGAAATTGAAATATAATGATGATGATGATGATGATAATATACTATACCAGCGAACCTAAACACCTACATTAATAAAATCGGAATAAATCTCATCGCTTCAGAAGTCTACGTTGCTTGGCGCTGCAAATATTCTCCGAAAGAGGCTATCTGTTTGAGGTCGTACGCCTTGATGGGGAAGACCCATCTTTATTATTATTATTATTGTTTTACTTCCTTTATTTTCTGGTGTATACTCATTTCTTTCCGGGTCCCAACCATAGACCTAAGGTTAGAAATGGCATCAGGACATTTTCCACTGAGCAGGTTTGAAAAATTGGGAAGCTTAACAAGTACACTGACCGCCAGATTGAGGTTGCGAGAATGTCGGATGTTCAGGCCAATATGGTCCCCACCTCCCAGCCTCCTCGTTATCATTAGGGAGTTCGGATCTATACCAGCGAACATGAAGACCTACATTGAGAGAAGTGGAATAAAGCCTCGTGTCTCATCGCTTCAGAAGTTGCTTGCCGCTGCAAATATTCTACGAATGTTGCTGTCTGAGGTCGTATGACTTTATGGAGAACACCCATCATTATCATTATTATTGTTTTATTTCCTTGGAAAATTGGAAATCTTATAAAGTACACTGACCTGCGTGTTGAGGTCGCTAAAATATGGGACATTCAGGTCAATATTGTATAAGTTATCATTTCATCGTTGGAGTCAATATCATCGAACTTAGTCCTAAATTGACAAAATTGGTATAAAGCCAAAAAATCCCATCGCTTCAGAAGTCCGCGTTGCTTGGCTCTGCAAATATTCTACGAATGATGCTCTCTGTCTGAGGTTGTACGACTTGATGGAGAACACCCATAATCTCCGGTTGAAAAGGAAAACTAATGGAGAAGAGAATAGAAAATAATAATAATAATGATAATAATATACTATACTACCGAGCCTAAAGCATAGAATCTTATCGCTTCAGAAGTCCGCGTTGCTTGGTTCTGCAAATATTCTACGAATGATACTCTCTGTCTGAGGTTGTACGATATGATGGAGAACACCCATAATGCAAGATCTCCGGTTGAAAAGAAAAACTAATGAAGAAGTGAATAGAAAATAATAATAATAATAATAATATACTACCGAACCTAAAGATCGACTTTAAGAAAATCGGAATAAAGCCTAGAATCCCATCGCTTCAGAAGTCCGCGTTGCTTGGCGCTGCAAATATTTTACGGAAGAATCTGTCTGAGGTCGTACATCAAGTCGTAGGACCTCAGACAGAATCACCCATCATCATTATTATTATTGTTTTACGTCCTTTAGTTTCTGCTGTATACTCATTTCTTTCCGGGTCCCGACCAGAGATCTAAGGTCAGAAATGGTATGATGACATTTTCCATTGAGCAGTTTTGAAAAAAAAATCGCACATATTTTATATAGATAAAGCCCTTCGTCAGGTGTGTGCTGTACTCGTGAGTACAATTTTTGTATTTCTTTAAAGCATTGGCTACCAGAAATCCCTTCAATGAGTCTACTATAATCATTTTCAATCATTCCGAGGGCTCCAACTACAACTGGAATTGTTAATGTTTTCATGCGCCACATTTTTGAGATTACGATTTCAAGGTCCTTGTATTTTGATAGTTTTTTTTTTTTTTTAAGGTCTTCAAAGATACATTGCAGCCTGCAGGAACTGCCATATCAATAAGGAGGCACACTTTTGTCTTTGCGGTCTATAATCACAATATTGGGGTGATTAGCTTTGTTTGTTCTGTCTTTGTGTATTGTAAAGTCCCAGAAAATTGTTACAGGTCTTATCTCCGTAACCGGGTCTGGGTGGTGTTCATAGCAATTTCTTTCAGTTTCCTTTCCGTAGAAATTGCCGATATTCCAGTGCAGATATTGGCCCACTCTGTCATGTCGGGTTTTATATTCAGTGGGTGCCAATACCGCGCAACCTGATACAAGATGGTCAATTGTTTCTGGATATTTATCACTGATTATTATTATTATTATTATTTGTGTGTGAGGGGGAGAGTGAGGGGGGAGAGAGAAAGAAGACGTTAATTAGACTGGACAACGTTAATGAAAGGAAAAATTGAAAGAGGAAAGAAAATAACTTTCTCGTCATATGACTAATTATAACCTTCGTGGAAGTAACCTAGTTTACAAAACTGGGAGAAATATTTAACATGTAATCTTAGGTCAACAGACATTATTCATAATTGCCAGGCTTAAGGCCATATCACGTTGAAACACCGGTTCTCGTACGATCACGGAAGTTAAGCAACGTCGAGCGTGGTCATTACCTCGATGGATGATCGCTTGGGAATACCAGGTGGCGTAAGTTTGGATGTGAGGCTGGTGTAACGGATAATAACTCGGAATTATTAATCGGAGAGCTGAGTTCCAATTCCCGCTGAGTTCGTTATATTAACAGACGCACAAGTACCCTGGGGAAAGATATGAATCCACTTCTTCTCCCCAGCTATAGAATTAATTAGTAAGACTTGTATCTCTAAGTCATTATTATCTCAAGGAAAATTCTTACAATCTAGAATTATTTTCTGGCCTTGAATAACCTGCAAAGGGGTGATAAACCGTAGAAAACGAGTTAGTCAATCAAATACTGATTCGGTATACAGGCATGTATATTTTAGATTTATTTACATTCTCTGGAATATAAATGTATGGAAATTACCGTGGCCACAAATTGAGGGATCAATTCATATATTGATTCTATTTAGAATTGACCCCCCACTTTATATACACATTCTAAGCTCTTATTTGTTGATAAGCCATAGAAAACCAATCAATCAATGAAATACTGATTAGCTACACAGGGATGTCTTTTAGATTTATTTACATTCTCTGGAAAAGAAAAGTATAGAAACTAATGTGGTCACAAAGTGAGCGATCAGTTTGCATATTGATTGAAATATTGAATTGATCCCCCACTTTATATGCACATTATAAGCTCTTATTTGTTGATAAGCCATAGAAAACGAACGAATCAATCAATCAATGAAATACTGATTAGCTACACAGTCTTTTAGACTTATTTATATTCTCTGGAATATGAATGTTTGGAAACTACCGTGTGACCACAAAGTGGAGGATCCGTTTATATAATGATTGTAATACAGAATTGATTACCCACTTTATATCCACATTATAATTTCTTGTTTGTTTATCAAATTTTGATTAGGTATGAATCCACCTTTCCTCCCCAGCTATGGATTAATTAGTAAATATTTGTATCTAAATCATTGCTATCTCCTATCTCCCCATCAAATTCTCGAAATTTAATAATATTTGCTGACTTGAAATAACATTATGAGAGTTGATTGTTTTTTTTTTGTTTTACGACATATCAACCCCAATGGGTTATTTAATGCTGACAACATTTTCATCGCTGGTAATATTTTATTTGTCAAAAATCTATTTCTGGTAATAATTTTTTTTTTAAAAATGTGTTGCTGGAAATAATTTTTTTCAAAAAATATTGCTGGTAATATTTTTTCCTCAAAAATGTATTGCTGGTAATAATTTTTTTTTCTTCAAAAATTTATTGCTGGAAATAATTTTTTACAAAGCATTTCTGATATTAAAACCTGTTTTTACACTTTCATAGTGTTTTTACCCCAATTTCGGGGTTAACTATTTTCCCATAGCTGGGACCCTAATAAGTCCTACCACCCCGGGTCAGAGTGGACCTGGGAACACCAACAATTAAGAGGTGGTTCCACGCTCCTCAAAATCTCCTGATTAGAGGCCTTGCTGTTGGATGTAGTTTATCGTCTTACCCAGGATGGTATAAGAGTTGATAAAACATAGAAAAATAGTTCGACCAATCAATGTGATAATTGGTACACACACATGCATACACACACACACACATACACGCAGGGCACACATACAGTCCTTCAAACGCATGTCCGAGGTTTGTCCAGAAAGCATGTAGACATTAAATATTAACGAAAAATAAAATCGGGCATCTGCGCCTTAGTTCGCTTCAAATACTCGCGTTCAGGGTCGTTTCCACATTCTAAAACGATCTTTAAAGTTCTCTTTCGTGATTGACATGAGCAGCCTTGTCACGATCTCCCTCATCTCGTTCACTGACAAACCCATATCTGGACTGTGCAGGGATAGGACAGATTCGGATGATACAATGTTTTTCCAAAAACCCAGGATGAGACGGGCAAAATCTATTCGCTCGGCCACTGCGATGGACACTCAGTACACAAGCTCATTCAATAGTATCTCACAGCCGACTAAGTCAAATCACGGAAGAGTGTCTGTTTCCAAATGCGTGTTAATTTCTCCACAGATTGGTTACCAAGTTAGATCACGGCCGCGCATCTAGTTCTCAATATATCTAAAATATCTGTCTATATTTATGAGATGAGGTATTATGTACACTATTTACATTATTCGGACTATTGTCCTCATCTTTGTCGCCAGATTCATTACAACGTTTCGGTCTTTCAGTATCTGTCTATATTTCTGAGATGAGGTATTATGTACACTATTTACATTATTCGGACTATTGTCCTCATCTTTGTCACCATATTTATTACAACGTTTCCGCCCTTCAGTATCTGTCTATATTTCTGAGATGAGGTATTATATACACTATTTACATTATTCGGACACTTGTGCTCATCTTGTCGCTATATTTATTACAACGTTTCGGCCTTTCAGTATATGTTTATATTTCTGAGATGAGGTATTATATACACTATTTACATTATTCGGACTAGTGCCGGACATTTGCGCTCCTAGACAAATGCCTCGCTGTATATTTGCGTACCTCTGATAATGTTTTTGAAGCATTTCAAGGCAATTATATAACTTCAGAAAATGATCAGAGGTACGCAATTATCCAGGTACACATTTATCTAGGGACGCAAATGTCCAAGGAGGCAATTGTCTGGTATACAATTGTCCGAAACGCAAATGTCCTGTGCGCAATTGTCCGTTCACTTTCCATTTCAGCTTCGTTATAACTTCGTCCGACTGTTGCTTGTATTTCAGAACTCTTATACTGAAACACATCTATCCTATTGTTAATAGACTCTCTCACCTAAAATAAGTAGGAGTAGTAGCAGTCGCCAGTGAGCTCAGTGAGTTGGTCTGATTTCAGTCTGAAGTCGGACGATCGGCTGACCGGTTGAACTCTCTGCCTTCGGACGGGGAGGAACCCGAACGAGGCTACGCCGAAGGCCGGAGTCTCTTTCTGGGAGGTAAACCGACCCTGAACTCGTTTATACGGGTTCAAAGGGCATATTTTTGGCCGAGCCCACGGGATCGGAGATCCCACGTTAAACCGGCCTTGTGCCACATGATGCCCTCGTGGGGGGTAGGGGTGACTAAATACCGCTCACTGAGTTGGTCAGTCAGTCAACCACCACAACTAGATTTTTGCGTCATTAACTATTATTTCAAGTTCCTAACGTTTCCTAAGTCGAACCTTTTTAGGAGCGACTTAGTGAAATACAATCCTCCAGTGTGAAACTACTCTACAACAATTTGGCGACGAGGGATTCGGATTCATACGGAGGAAGAAAAACCTTTTCGTACTCTATAACAAGAACATAATTCATCAAGTATTTATCAAATATTAATCCGATTCCTCTTTCATTTCTCTCTCCGCCTGCATATATGATTCTATTTTCGTGGTTTGTAAATTCCTCATTTATTTTGTAAATCTTTCCCTATAATTTAACTCCCAGAATGTTGATAATCAACCTTTCCATTTCCTGTTTTACCTTTTTTTTATGTATTTACATAGAATCCTAACATTTCCCATGATATTTTCTTTGACGTGAACAGTCGCTGGTTGCACATGTCTCTCTTTGGAGTCGGTTCCAAAGGAGCTGATTCCGCTTCAGGTCATTTTCTGTCCATTTTGCGTTGTGCATTGCTATGTTAGTTCAAGGATAAATCAAGACAGCTCTCAACTTGGTATCTACGCTGATGACATGACCATTTACTCCTGTCTCGATAATAAGGCTGATTAGTCCGACAACGTCAAAATGGCAGCCGATGTCCAAAACTACCCGCCGTTAGCTGTGTCAAAAAAGGGTGGGTTGTTACTTATTTTCTCATTTTCCCACAACCGTAAGGTTGCACTTATCGCTGGTGAAATTCCCTTCCGGCACCATGATATCTAACCAACTTTAAACTGGAAAATTTAAAATGCAACGTCAATCGCTATCTACTGTCGTTTTGATTACTCTTTTCTTTTCCCGTCTCAAAAACTAAATTTCTCTCCATTACTAATCTCAGAGACGCCACTCTGCTTTCCATCAGGAAACTGAATCGTTGCACCTTCTTGGGCAAACGTTTACAGCTGACATGAAGTGGAAAGACAATAATGAATCCATTACTAGATCAACTGCTAAGAATTGCGGTTTACTGTAACGAGCGAGACAATTTTCCTCCCTAGAATCTATCATACATAGCTATAGGTCTACCATTCGTCCATGCTTAGAATATTGCCGCTACATAAGGTCCTACTATTCACCTTGAGATCCTTCATATAATCCAAAGAAGAATCACCATTATTATTAGTCCTGATCTGGCGGCTCGTCTCTTAGTCACTTTCCCACCGCCGTAAGGTCGCCTCTCTGTGTGTTTTCTATATTTTCATGGTAATAGTTTGGAAGAGTTCTTCGCTATGGTACGTAGACTTTTTGAATTTAAGTGCAGTATTAGACTGGCATAGAGATCTCATCAATGTACAGTTGAGCAGGCTAGATGTAGCCGTAAGTTCTATCCTGACAGTTTCTTTTCTTGCATTTCCCGTTTGTGGAACTCCCTTCCGGCTCCATGCTTTCTAACCAAATTTAAACGACAAAATTTAAAATGCAATGTCAATCGCTATCTACCGTCCTTCTGATTACTCTTTTCTCTTCCCGCTCATTATCAATGTTTCTGCTCCTAATTCTTCCACGCCCACTAACCTCTTGTGTCTTAGTGGCTTTACTGCCTTACATGGGGTGACACCGATTAAAAAAGAAAAAAAAAAAGGTGTCTTCTTGTCTAATCAGTGACTTTATCAAGACACCGACTCTAGTTTGCTCATTATAAAGTTCATCTTTTCTTTTGTAACTCTTATTTTTCTTATTTACATTATATATGTTTGCACTAATATCCTCATCTTTGTTGTTATCACAAAGGTTCGGCCGTTGTATCCTCCGGCCTTCTGTCTATCCGGGTAACCTTCAGGGCATTTCAACCTGTACCCATTACTTAATCTACGCTGGATATATTGTTTTCGTCGTGCTGTTTGTGTCCGGGGTTTGTTGACTTGTTCTTTTTAGTACTGCCTAGTTATAG